GGTGGGTTTATCCTTTGCTCTAAGTCATAAAAAACCCCCTTCTAACTAACATACCCTTTGCCTCCTTGGTTATCCAGTGAGACTGGCTCAGCAATTCTTTTCTTCTATATCAAAATTTACTTCCATCTCTATTCCTTCCTCAGCTTCTACATTCAAAAATCTTTCTGTCAAGCATACATATTTGTGAGACTTTCTTGTCAAACTTTCATCCTTCCCAACAGGGCAATCTGTAGCAGTTATTTTGATTATTTTAAAGGTTATGTTTAATTTCCCCCTATTTCCTGGCTTGGCCCAATCTGCTTCCTCAATTTGTTTTTTGTCTTCTTCCTTTAATTGGAGGAGTTTGACTCCCATTTTCTCTCCCTCTGGAAGCACCTTGATACCTAACTGCACTTGCAAATCCCTTCCCAGCAAATTACATCCTGCCCCTGGTATTTATAAAACACCCCCCATTCCTTTTTTTTTTTTTTTTTTTTCTCCCTCAACTATTAAATTTTTTAAAATTGGTGCTTTAAATCCTTCTCCTTTTGACCCTGCTACTTGAATAGTTTTTTGGCTTTTTTCACATCCTTTTGAAATTTTACAGACACGTTCCCTCAGACCCTGTATCTACTAGAAATTCAAATTCCTCCTCATGGGAGCCTACTTTTAAAGGAATCAAGGGCTCCTGCTGAAATTTTGACCCCAGGAGTCAGAGCCCCTGACCACCCCTATTCATCCATTTCTTGAACCTCCTTAAAGGCTTTCCAGTCTTTTTCCCCCTGTGGGCAGTTCAGCCTTAAATGTCCAATTTCTTTGCAATAATTGGGCCCTGGTTGTTAAATTCCTTTTCTCTCTGATTCCAGGGAGCTCTGTTTTCCTTGTCCTCCCCCTGGCCCCATGCTCTTGGCCTGGCTGGGGCCTCGTTTCCTTGTAGGAACGGGTTCTTGCACGGCAGTTTGCATTAATAATACTAATATTAATATTAATATTAATATTAATAGCAGCCACCATTATTTTAGCTTTCGCCTTTGCTTTTTCTTAATCTCCCTGTACATATACCTTCTGGGCTTCTTTCAACAGGTCATGCAATCCTTTGTCTTGCCACTCATCCAATCTTTCTGACCTTTTTCTTACATCTGGCCAAGCGTGAGTGACAAAGGTCACCTTTGGCAGAGCTTTTCCAGCCTCTCTATCAGGGTCCATTCCCGAGTAGTGTCTCATATTTATTTTTAACCTCAGCCATTCAGTTTGAGTCTCCTTGTGTTGTTCAGCAAATGACTTACAGGACTCCGATTTCAGGGAACAACCTCCCTGATTCCTCTGATAGTTAATGTTTTAAACTCTCCCATGTTTTGCTTTCCCCTGGGGTTATTGTGGTCCCAAATCGGGTGCTCTAATGGCATTTTCTCCTCCCCAGGGTGTCCCTTTGCACGTTCCCTCTCCCATATCTGCATCCCCGCTGCTCGGATCATTTGTCTTTCTTGGTGTGTGAACAAAAGCTTTATTGTAAATTGCATTTCACCCCAAGTATAAACACTGGGTCCCAAAATTTGGTCTAGCTGTTCTGCTAATCCAATAGGATCTTCTAGTAGACATTTAAATTATTTTTTAAAGGCCCTCACTTCAGAGGAGTTAAGTAGGGCGGTTACAAACCTAACTCCCCCTTGTGCCCCTGCCTGGAGGGCACGTGTTGATACTTCCTGGTCCTCTCAATTTTTTGGTCTCTCAATTTTTTGATTCCTCTGGTTGGACCGCTCTTCCCCTGGTATTCCAGCTGGCTCCATCAGGGTGTGGAGGGGGTACATTGGCTGCTGGCGGATATGGAGGAGGCACATAATCTAAGGGGCCCCAGTTTTTTGCTTCTTTTAATTCAAAGGAATTCTCTTCCCCCAGAAAGGCTTTCCCCCAGTAAGCGGCAGAATCCTTCTCTTCCTGAACGCTTTTTTAGCGTTCACATAAATATTCAAAGCTTGGCACATCCCCCTCTCCAAGGAACCACGTCTAGATCTTATCTCCTCTTCAGCCCATTCTATCATACAATGATGTATCATTTTAATCTTATTTTTATTCTTTGTGTCAGGTTTATGTTCCCACTGTGCCAATTTTATCCCAAGGGGGCTATCAGAAGGTATCTTTATTGGTGATTCCTTGCTTCCCTTTCTCCTGGGGGCTTTCTCCTTGCTTGCCTTGTGTCCCATCTTTTAGTTTATCCCAACACCTCCGGTGTACCCCTTTTTGTCTGTTTTCTTCCTTAGCTTCCACGCAAATCTAACTTTACACTTCTCACATGTATTTTCCCAGTCCTCCTTAGACACAACCCAAATTCTGGGAACCAAATACTGTCTCCCACAGGATTTTAATTATTTCTGCCTGGTGTGATTCAATCAATGCCTTCCACCAAGCTTTTCCTGTTCTTGGGCTGCCTATTTCCCTGTGTATTACAGAAATTAAGAAATTAAATGCCTGATTTCTGGTCCCTAATTCTGCTCTTTTACACTCCTGGCACAAGATACTCTGCAACATCACCTCTTATGAGATTTTACACTCACACATGACCCAAGGTTCACACCCAGCTCCACAACTCAAGCACAAAATTTCACTCCTACAAACAACACAAAATCTTGATTACAAAATGACAAAACGCTTCCTTTTTCTTTGGCTGTTCCGGTCACCTGAGAAACAGAACCGTGGATCCAAGCTCCTTGCTTGCTGCGTACCAGTGGTACGTTGCAGTGGTTTTGGTTTGGCAATTTGAGATTTCCTGGCTAACTCACCAATTAACGTGGTGAGTTTCAGTGCTGGCCAGCACCCGCTGGAATATTCTCATTTTCCTGCTGTGAGAGGATTAGGAGGAAGGCAAAGCAGGGTTCAAAACTTAAAAAGGATATAAAGAAAGCTTTTTAACAGTAACTAACAGAAAGCATAACAAGAATCAGAATAAAACTTTTAGAACACTTCTCCTCGCCCCACAGCCTCTTATTTCCCCCTCACAAGGCACAGAAAGAAGTCAGTTTATCACCTCTAGAATAGTCTTTCTTCAGTTCACTTAGGAAGAGGAGTCCCTCCTGTCATTTTATGGAGACTTCTCCACAGATCTCTCTCGTGACTTTTAATTTCCACAAACAGCAGCCAGGAATCTCCAATCCCGAATTCCCTCCCATCTATTCGCAGCCTTCCCACAGCTGTGTTTGTGGATGCACTGGCTTAGGGTAAATTTGGGAGACAACTCCCAAAGGGGCTCCTCTAGAAAAGCAGATTCAATTGGCCCCTCCCCGCAACCGATACAGGAGAAAAAGTGGAAAGAAACCTGTTTATTAAACAATAGAACCCAAACAATATTAAACAATAAAACCTCTTGCTGCTCCAAAAAGAGATTATAAACTCAGAACAGTCCCCTCCCCGGGTTGTAGCTCGGCTCACTCAGTCTCTGATCAGTCCCTCCTGGAAATGCTGCAGCCCAGGCCTGGCCAAGGGGCCACAGGTGGAGCTGCCGGTGCTCTGCTGGGTGTTCACTCCAGAGCAGGCTTGAACAGGTCCAAGAAAAAGAGAAAAACCCAGTCCAGGGAACTTCTTTGCCTCAGCTAGCTCAAACTAACTAAAAGCAGAGGGGAGCTCTGTCCTGCTGTCTGTCAATCCGCAGACAACACAGTCTAGGGGAAGAATGTGGAGGAGTGAGTGCAGTGTCTGAAAGCAGTCTGCAGCTTCTTCCCTCCCCTCTTCACTCTCTGGAACAAGTCTAAAGGTGTAAAACTTATTACTCAGTATAAACAGAACAAGACGATTGGGGATAAAAGCATCATATAGTCAACCCAGGACAACTGGCCACCCATAACAGCCATTTTCCTCATCAGTTCTCCCATGAGTCGCTCAGAGGAAGCTGCATCCAAAATTCCAAGAGTTCCTCCAGAAAGAACCACAACCTCCTCAGAGGAGGGAACCATGCTGTTGTCAAAGGCACTTGGGGTCAGAGAACAGTGCCCTGAACTCACTGTGCCAAAATAATGTCACAATCCGGTTAAGAAAATTGTTAGAGAGATGCCTCTGCCCCAATTAAGGTGCTAACAAGACCAAATCCAAAGTGGAGTTTATTGAACAGTAAATGAGAGATAGAGAGGGAGATTGAAAAAGTGAGAAAAAGGCAGGAGAGAAAGGGAGTGACAGGGACAGTGACCTCCCCTAGGGCAGGGCAAGTGTGACATTGTCCCCTGTGTGTGTGACCTTCTCGAGGTGGGGGTTTCACACCTGAGCCAGTTTGGGTAAGGGGGGTGGTGTTCACCACCCCCAGCAAGGATCACCCCACTGTTTCAGGTTTCAGCGTAAGATGTAACCAAAAGCATGTTTTCCATCACCATCTTCATAAACTGTTATAAACATTACCCCACTGTTTCAGGTTTCAGTGTAAGATGTAACCAAAAGCATGTTTTCAGTCCCCATCTTCACAAACTGTTATAAACAGGCGGGGCAGTGTTCTTTATCTCTTCCATGACTCAGCCCTGATAACGCCCTCCAGGGGCTCTCTTCTCTTCATGGGCCATTGAGTGTCACTGCAGGACTGATAAAATTACATCATCCCATTGTGGGATGCTCCGCCCAGGGGGAGGAGCCAAGCATTCCTGCCTGGATATAAGCTGAGGCTTTCAGCATCAGGAGCACCTTGCCTACTGGATTCCCAGAGGACAAGAGCTCCATAAGCACCACTGGACCTTCAGAGGAAGACCAGACCCTTCTACAGGATCACTGCTTTGACATAATCACGTTCATCACTGCAACAGGACTGCAGTCAGCATTTAATGGGACTGCTACCAGCACCCTGAGCAACAAGGTGCCAGGTTATATCCTGACTCTGTCAGTTTAAGGCAGTGTTTCTGTATCATTGCCTTGATATTAATTTTCTTATTGAATTGTAATTCAGGCTTAGAATCTCCTCCTGGTTTGCCTTCAAACCAGTACAAAACTCAATGCACTCATCCCTTGTTTTCTTCCCAAAACAGAATTTCCCATCCCAAAATCTTTCCCAGATGGAGGAGAAGGCTGTGAGGAAGACGAAGATGCCCCATGACCACCAGGTAGCTGAGGAGGAAGTCAGTGCCCCTTTCCCCCTCTCTCCTGCTCCATCTCCCAGCCCAGCATGGCCCAAGGCTGCAGGACAACCACGCTGCCAATGCTGTCCTGCCATGGATGCACTGGGGGAATCTCCTTCTCCTTCCCAGTGGCACAGAGGCAAATCCCATCCTCTCCTTGTCCTTCCTCCCCAGAAAAGAAGTTGAGGATGGAGACCAGGGAGGACAAATCCCCACAGTGGAAACTCGTGGAAGAGGCCGTCTTGAGCGGCTCACCAGCACAGATATCCAAAGGGAGGAAAAGTCCCAGAGATCCTGCAGGAGAAGGGTCTGCAAACCCAGCCCAGGGTGCTCTGAGGAGGAAAGACCCACCCTGTGCCAGGATGGTGGAGAGAGCCGCAGCCGGGGATTGGAGCTGGTGGTCCATGAGCAGCTTCATGATGGGGAGAAGTCCTACAAGTGCGTGGGGTGTGGGAAGAGCTTCAGGCAGAGCAGCACCCTGATCCGCCACCAGATGATCCACACCGGGGAATGGCCCTACGAGTGTGGGAAGTGTGGGAAGGGCTTCAGCTACATCTCAGAACGCGTCATCCACCAACGCATCCACACTGGGGAGAGGCCCTACAAGTGTGGGGAATGTGGGAAGAGGTTTCGGATCAGCTCAGATCTCCTCCAGCACCAGCGGATTCACAATGAGGACTGGCCCTTCCCCTGCCCCAACTGCGAGAAGGGCTTCAACCACAACTCCCACCTTGTCACCCACCGGCACATCGACACTGGGGAAAGGCCCTACGAGTGCCCCACGTGTGGGAAGAGGTTTCAGACCATCTCCCATCCCCTCATGCATGAGCGGATTCACATGGATGAGAGGCCCTTCTGCTGCCCCGACTGTGGGAAGGGCTTCAACCGCAACTCCCACCCTGTCACCCACCGGCGCATCCACACTGGGGAGAGGCCCTACGAGTGTCCCCAATGTGGGAAGAGCTTCTCCAAGAGCTCTCACTTGACCAGACGCCAACGGAGGCACCGGTAAGGGAAGCTGTAGCCATGATATTATGAAAAATCCTTTGCTGGGATTTTCCCCCTTCTGAGAAGCTGAGGAGCCTCAGGAGAGAAATGTAAACAATAACTATTTGCTGCTGTGGAATGCAACAGGTGCATCTGTGATTGGTCCAAGTAGATTGTTTTCGACTGATGACCAATCACAGCCACCTGTGCCAAAGCTGTGAGCAGTCACAGGATTTTGTTATGCATTCTATTCTATTTCTTGTTCTTTTTAGCTTCTGATCTCTCTGTTCTCTCTGTTCTTTTAGTACAGTTTTAATGTAGCATTTTAGTATCATATTTAACATAATAAATCAGCCTTCTGAGAAACATAGAGTCAAGCCTTGTGTCTCCACACACAGAGAGTTCATCGCAACAGGAAGCCCTGCAAGTGCTCTGACTGCAGGAAAAGCTTCCTGCACTGCCCCAATTCCACGCCGCACGTGGAATTGGGAGGGAGGACCCACATTGGGCAGAGGCATGGTAACCCACATTCCCTGTAATCCATGTTGGGAAGACACTGTGTTGTAGTGTGTTTTGTGTGCTTTAGCAATGTTAAGTTGTAAATTGGTTTGTTCCATGTACCCCCTTGTCTGTAGCAGTTCTGCCCTGGTTCTCTCCTCCCTCACTCTCCCTGTCAGTCCAGTTTTCTCCTCCCCATTCCCCTTGGCAACCCATGTATCTCTTCCTTAGCCCCTCCCTGGTGCCCTGTCCATCACTCAGTGACCCATCCTTTTCCTCTAGAATCTTCCAGCCATGCCATCGAGTGATTGGTTCAGGGGCCAGGGCCCCTCTCCTAGTTTATCCCTATTGGTTATTCTGCTGTTTCAGTCACCCTCACCCCACTCCCACCTTGTCTCTGATTAGTTGAAGACCAGACTACACCTCTGTGTCCTCTCCTCCTTAAAAGTTGGTGTCAGGCCCCAGTTTGTGGTCTTCATCTGTCAATTCCCTTGGAGTTAATAAACCCGGATTGCACTACAGCTGGAGTCCGTCTCTTTATCTCCTGTTGGGTAGCAGCCCTTTCCTGGCTGATCCTCGTCCCTCAAGACAAAAGTCTTTAGGCGCCCTCCTGGCCGGAGCAAGGAACGGGAGAGTGCCCCAGTGCTGCTGGTGGTGCTGGCCACAGCTGGCAGGGACATCCCGAAGGGACAATCACTTTCTCCTTCGAGGCCAGCCGCCGCTGCAACACTGGGCTAGTTTTTCTTTTGGTTTAGCCCTAATTTTCTTCTGATTTGTCTTTATCACTTAAAAATACCTGAAATAGGACTAAAAAGGAAGTAATTGATCAAAGACATCTGAAGTCCCACCATTTAACAGGTATTTCAGATGGAATTCATGGTTTAAAGACATATGCTGGGGGATTTGTGGGTTCTCGGGGGATTTCAATAAGGGTTCTCCATATATTTGCACTCCAAAAGTCAAGATGGATTGGTCTGTCACCTCAAAACAACTCAATCCCACTGAAAACAACTCTGTCTTATCCCAAAAGAGCTCAATCCCACCTCAAACTGGCTTGTTCGCACCTCACAAAAACTCAGTCCCATGCCAGAATAACTCAGTTCCACAGCCTCCAGGGTGAGATGGGATCTGAAGGAGATTGGGAGAAGTGGGATCCAAATTTGAGGGTGTGGCATCAAGATTGTGTAGGGCTGGGTGGGTGGGATGTATTTTATAGTAAATAAAATATAGATAAATACAGTAAATAAATATATAGTAAATAAATACTTAGTAAATATAGTAAATAAATATATAGTAAATAAAACTTTCAGAATTGTTGATTTCTGCCCCATTCATTTTCCATCAGTTCCGGTTTGTTTTTCAGAGTGCCACCTTACCAGCTGATTGTGTTTGTGTCCTCCTTTCTCTCCTGCCTCTCTTTGCCTGCTCTGTTTCTCTCTCAGTGTCTCTCTTGATCCATGGCAGCTCCCAACAAAGACCCTGCCCTGATTCAATTCCCAATCCACCAGCTACAACAAGGGTGAAGTTACAAAGGCTGGCAGTGAAATGACACTGTAAGATTTTGCTCCACTTGGATTTTGGCTCTTCCATAAGAGTTTTGCCTTCGAGGGCAGGAGCATCATTTCCTGGCTGGGAACTGGAATTCCAGCCCCTGGCAGTGTGTGCCATGGGTCCCAGAGGGGCATTCCCGAGGCTCCCAGGGTCCTGCTCCTGCCGTGCCTCCCAAGGAGCTGTGCAGGGCCAGGGGACAAGGTCCAGCAGCTCTGTTGGTTCTGCAGTGCCAACATGGCGCCTGGTTCCATGAGTTTCCGTGCTGCCAGCAGCGGTTCCTTGGTTCCCATGGTGTCCTGCTGTGTCACCATGGATATTTGGTGTCATGAAGTTCTTCAGTGTCACAATGGCCTACTGTGAGAACTCAACACATCACTCTGGATGTCCAGAGTCGTTGAAAGAACCCTTGAGGGGCTCAGAAGCCTGAGAATGTTGCCAAAAGTGTCTAGTAGCTTGACTTTAATCCTTCCAGAAATGAGTCATCTATGTATGAAAAAATGAGAAACCTTAAAGTTTGAATGGTGTATTTACAAAGTGAAATATAGATTTTAGAATTTAAGTACAAGAGTCATAGAGACAAAATACAAAATTCAAGACGTAGTCCTAAATTCTTTTTTTTTTCTTCATGTCTTCCATTTTCTGTAATAATGTTAACATTTTTAGATTAGTGTATAGTGAAAATACACTTGTCAATAAAGATGAAAAGTATTGAGAATTAAAAGTAAATATGTTAAACGTAATTTTTACTATAAAAAACACAGCCACCCCGTAGGCGGGGGAGAATACACTTAACTACCTTGCTAAACAAACCTCAGCTGAACAGACAGAAAATACTGTAAATAAGAATTAATAAACAAAATCAAAAAACACAAACTCAAGAGGCCAGATTCGTCCTTTGAAGCACAACCTACCTAAAACCACCTTTCCCGTATCGAGACAGAGACAAATAACAACAAACCCCAATAGCCCACCTCACTCCATGAGCTCCCACATTGTCACAATGGCCTCCTTGGACGGGCAGTGTCACCATGGACTCCTTGGTTCCGTGACATTCCGGGGGTGTCTCCATGGTCTCCTTGGATCCACAGTGTCACAAAGGACCACTGGATCCATGTGGCCCTGCTGTGTCACCATGGGCCCTTGGTTCCATGGGACCCCAGGGTCACCATTGACTCCTTGCTTCCACGTCACCCCTTCAGTGCCAAAATGGCCCATTCGTTCCATGAGGAACACAAAAGTTTTGTAGAAACATTGAGCAAATCCTGCTTTACACACCTGGGAACATCTGTTTGCATTCAAAAGAGGGGTTAAAGGTGACCATGGCACCAGCAGCTTCCATCTGCAACACAGATCCAGGGAAAGGACAGGGACAGGGAATTCAGCTGAAAGACTCAGAGAATTCTGCTCCCAGAGATCATTTCTGGTCACACTGTCCCTTGTAGAAAGGTGACATCATTCCAGGCAGCCTGGACTGAGCATGTGGCTCCTGAGTGGGGTTTGTTGTTCAGGAAATCTGCTCAGGCTTTTCCACTCCTTCCTTACAAAGAGGAAAACTTCTCCAGGGCCTGCATGCAGGCAGAGCCCTGAGGAGAGCAGGTGGGACACGCTGCAATGGGCTGGGACATGGAGCTGCAGAGTGCAGGGGACAAGGTTCTGCTGCAGGGCACAGGGATGTCAGTCCCAGGTGGGCGATGTCAGACATGGTGAGGCTGGGGGTGAGGAGCAGCTTGTCCAAACAGGCTCAGCCCAAAAGGGGCTCATTCTTCTCCATGCCCAGACCTCCTAAGGAGACATTCAGCATCAAGATCACCTGGGAAATGCTTCTATCACCTCTTCTCTGAAATGAAAAAAAAAAAAACCTAAACCCACAAATGTGATAAAAAAACCCAAAAATTATGAGGTGCACTTTGAAATCTTCCTCCTTAACAGAACTCCAAAGTGTCTCCAATCACTGCAAAAGCCCTGGAGACTTGAAGACAATTGAAAGGAGACAAAGAGTTCCTGAGGGCTTTCTGTATTTTAATCAGCCCCACGGTGGATTTGGGGCTGGGTCCAGGAGCCTCAGGCACTGAGAGGAGGATGAAGAAGCTGCTCAAGGAGTCAGCAGCAAAAGTCCAAGTGCCTTGGAGCATGGCTGGGCCCCAGGGAGGGCAGGGAGTGCCAAAGGCTCCCCAGGGACTGGTGAGAGCAGATCCTTGAGGCCAGGAGTGCAGGGAGCCCAAGGCTCTGGGCAGGGAACTGCAATGCTGAGCAAGGCCTGGCTTGGCTGCAGGAAGCAGAAAGGCCAAGCCCTGAGCCCAGCCTGGGCCAGCAGGGCCTGTCCCTCACGGGTGGCTCGGGGCTCT